AACACCGAAGCCATTAGTGAAGATGTGAAACACTAGCGGTCAAACCCTGGGGTACACCACTAGTGATCGGCATCCACCTGGACCTTGGGCTGTGTATCACATCCCCCTGAGCCTGCAGTTCAGTCCCTTTTCAGTCCATTTCACTGTCCACTTGCACTTCGTCAGTTTGCTATGAGGATTTTGTTAGGGGCAGTGTCAAAAGCCTTGTAAAGTAAAGGCAAACAACCTCCACCTGGACAGTGCTGTGAATTAAACTGACCAGGAAAACTGCCCTTCAGCTATGAGCAGAAGTTCTCAACTCACGCAAAAAGAGTGTTATGTATAATAAAGCATTCTTCCAAAGATCTCAAAGTCCTTCCTGGAGTCAACTAAGATGTCCCTCTTTGAGGTAATGGGAAAAGGAAGCATGAGTGCATCAGATGAGTTGCCTAAGGTAGATTTGCAGAGTCTAACTTGTGCAGCACGGGTCAGGTACGATAGCTGGTGGAGAGAAACTGAGGAAGGGAGGAGGAAAATGGACATCTCTGCCAAGGCAGATCATATATAACATCAAGAGACCTGGCAAAAGATTAAACAAACCAACAAACACAAAACCAAAACAATCAAAACCCACAAAACAACCATTTGGCCAAAGAACTGAAACCAAACACCGTCTGTTCTTGAGGTTTAATGGTGAAGACAGATATTTCCCAGCAAACTTAAGGAAAAGTCTAGCTATACCTCATTTGTGATGTTCATGCTTTTGTGTCTGATAATGGAAGCGTTACTCCAGTTCACTTTATTATCCTTCTTTGGATTATTACGGTCAACTCAAACTCCAGCCACAGAAATGATCCTGACCCCTAGCTGCGGTGCCATGCAGCAGCCTTCCCACCCCTGGAGTGGATGGATTGCCTCAAAGATTTAAGGATCAGCAAAGCAAGCTGGCTTTTTTCCTGGATTTGCAAATGTCCTGCTCTGAGGGATTAATGCCATTCAATTATTCCCTTGCAATAGGAGCACAAAAGTCAGTGGAAAGTTATCAGAAGACAAAAGGCTCTGCTAACTGGGCTGATGCATTCTCCAGCAGAGGTGGTAGTAAAGTCTGAGAACTGCAAGGGAAGATTGGTGTGCAGCATGTGGGGTAAAGCCAGAGAACATGGAACTTGCATGGAAACAATGAAAGGATCATCCTGGCCCCATGCAGCCCATAGCTCATGTGGAAATATTTCCTGACAGTGCTAGAAATGTCTGGCAAACCTGCAAGTGTTTCTTTGCTTTCCTGCTGGTCTCCAGGTGTTATTCCAGTGAGGACACACTTAGGAAATCCTAAAAATGAGCATAAGTGGAAAGGGAAGAGACGCAGATTTCTCTTCAAGTTATTAGGTTCCTATTGTTTCTCATCTGTGTAAAGCAGGCACCTGAAGATGCTGAGAACTCGCTGCAAACCAAATGCTTCCCAAATTGCAGGCTTTTCTTTTGTTTGTAATTACACATGACAGATAGGGTGTTATTAACCTCAAAAATGCCAGAAACAGGTAGCAGCTGTCTCGGCTGAGAAAAAGTTAATGACAACTGGAACTGTACAGAGGCATTGCCATGGATACAGGAAAGGGGCAAAGGAGGTAAATCCACAAGTATGGAGGTAAACTGGGGCCCTCCAGTGAATGAATTCTTTATGAAGAGGGGGCAAGGAAAAGAAAGGAATACTGAACTAGAAGCAGTAACCTGTAAGAGGAATGATTTTGTGGGAGCTGTGTCATTCTTCCCCATGCTGGCAACACCTCAAGGACTTTGGGTGTGCTGGACTGGAACAACGAGGCATTTTGTCATTAAGTATAGGCTAGAATTGCTTTTATATTTATTTTACTTGCAGCTAATTGCTTTCAAAACTTTGTCTGACCTTGATGAATGTTTTCTTTTTAAGCTTGCTGGGGGATGTTCTGAGGAGGGAGTCATATAAGGATGGAAAATGGTAAACGTTCAGGAGAGTTACAGTAATTGTGTCTTTGCCATTTTCATCTCTCCAAGCAAAGCAGAACGTGTGTTAGTGGCATGAAATGCAGAGAAGCTTTGTAAGGGCAAGTGTCTCTGCTGAGTATGCCAGATACCCATTGGAACACTAAAACTTTCCTATTTGAAGTCACAGGCAATTTTCTGTGGTGATACTTGGTGGTGACACGATGGTGGTGGTGACGCTCTTTATCAGGGTCCTACCCCAGAGCTCTGTCTTAGGAAGGTGTGGATCTATTGCCTGCCAGGCCAAGTGTGTGAGCATGGAAGGGTTTTAATGTCAAACTTTGTGAGTCTTCAGGGAAACAGCATGGTGTTGTGGGGTAAAGTTGTCTTCAGATGTTATTTGCTTTTCAGAGCTGCTGGGTGGGATGGTCAGTGAGTGGAATGGTCAATGAGTGGGATGGTCAATGAGTGGGATGCTGACCTTGACATGAGGACATCGGAGTTTCACTCTCATCTGGGCCATGCAGCACGTCTGTGCTCTTGTGCAAGTGCAGTATGTCAGCTTTAGTCTGGTCCTCACAGAGGGCCCTCCAGGTCCTCAAACTAGGTCATCTCTAAATCTTGCAGGGGCGTATGCTTTTGGTGCTACAGTAATGACAGCTTTTGTGTCTCCCTTAGTTAAGCACGACCTCACATGCTCCCACTGAAATCACTGGGGTGTGAAAGGCTTGAGTGGGTGACTGCCCAGGGCCACAGTTAATGGTAATGCTTTTAATTTTCAAAACATTTTTCTTCCCTTTTCTAGACACGTTATAATTAGCATTTCATAACAGGCTCTACAGATACAGGAAAGAATTTCTGGTCTCGGCTTAGCAAAGCATATCAACAGGGCTGCTGTGCATAGGAAGTTAAGTGTACCCAGGCGTTTACTAACACTAGGGCAAAGCATAAAGTTGTGTGATGTTTTCCTGATGAGGATCAGAATGTCCACTTTGCTGAGGATGGGTACTTTAAAGAAGGTGGATGATCCCTTTGGGTAGCAGAGTCATCAAAGCCATATCTAGAGCTTAGGGCTGCCTTGGTACAGTTCAGAGTGACAATGTGGCTCCTCGCTGAGCTTGCTGGGGCCATGCATGGTGGCACCAGCGAAGTTTCCCACCTTGTGCATACGCAGTGGGTGTTCAGCAGGTGCTGGATCAATTCACCAAGCAGCAGATTGTTTTCACTCTCAGCAGCTCAGTTGGCTGTTAGGGTTGCTCTGCTGTGGGGTATTTTGAAGATGTCAGCAATTATCCTCCCTCCAACAGTGCCAGCTATTTCCATGCACAGCAACTTCCACAACCACTTTGTAAAGGTTTTGTGGCGAGGGGCTGCCCAGAGCACAGTTCCTGCTGTTTGGGTAGATTGTAACTGACCCCTGGTGAGCCAATGTTTAAAACAGCAGCCACTCATGAGCCATCACTGCATATGGGAGCACCTCCTGTATGAAGACAGGCTGAGAAAGTTGGGGCTGTTCAGCCTGGAGAAGAGAAGGCTGCGTGGAGACCTCATAGCAGCCTTCCAGTGTCTAAAGGGCAGCCTATAGGGATGCTGGGCAGAGACTCTTCATTAGGGACTGTAGTGACAGGACAAGGGGTAATGGGTTAAAACTTACACAGGGAAGTTTAGATTGGATATAAGGAAGAAGTTCTTTACTGTGAGGGTGGTGAGGCACTGGAATGGGTTGCCCAGGGAAGCTGTGAATGCTCCATCCCTGGAGGAGGATGGAGGTAAGGTTGGACAGAGCCTTGGGTGACATGGTTTAGTGTGAGGTGTCCCTGCCCATGGCAGGGGAGTCAGAACTGGATGACCTTAAGGTCCTTTCCAACCCTAACTATTCTATGATTCTATGATTCTATCTTCATTCTGAATCCTTGTTTCAGCTCCCATCTTAACAACCCATCCCACTATAGGATGGTCTTGGTCCATCAGACTTCAGGCTAGAGGCCAAACTCACTAGTTAGCTGGGTTGCTTTTCTTCTGACCCATTGAGGATACCTTATCAGGGGCTTTTCTGTACAGACCTGGTGGCTTCCATCTTCTGGGATCTTGCCCTCAGGATTTCGTGTCCCTGCAGCAAGGTCAGGATCAGTTTCCAGCACCTTTCTGTCATCACAGTCCTCTGAGTTCTCACACCCCAGTCTGTCTATGTGTCCTGCGCCATCCCACAGCTGTGCTTGGGTAACACCTTCACACAAGTGATTTAGCCAGGTGTTTTAGAGGAGACTCATTCAGGAGTCTCTCTGGCACCTCCGTTTTTGCAACCGGTTGAGTTTTTAAGGATACTGGCTATGTAAATCTTTCTTATCCAGTAATTAAGGGCTGTTGCTTCATCTTGCTCATCTACTTTCACCCTACCAAGTCATATGAGAGGGGATGTCCTCTCCTCAGCCACGTGGCAGCACACTGGCTGTGTGACCTGAGACCGTGGCTGGGGAGAGGTGTTCACAAAAGCTTTTGTGCTATCAAGGAAAGCTTTGTAAAGCATACAAGGAATGGTGCAGAACTGATATTACTGCTGGACTGCTGTGGTGGTTGCATTGCATTCTGTAATCTGTGTTTTTATAGGTCTCATGCACTCCCCAGGGATAATTATGCTAAAACTCTAGCTGCTGTAATGGGAACAGGTTTGCTCAACTGTTTTTTAATCAAGAATGCCCAATCTATTAAACATTAATTTGTCTCTATTGTGGTCAGAAAAGTATGTGACTTGAGAATGCCATAAATGTTTGAGAGTGATTTATAGTCCTGCTTTCGGGTGGGGTACCAGGGGTACCCCAAAGCGAGCACTGCTGCGCCTGGGGTGCCCCATGATCACCACCACAAGATCATACTCCATCACCAAAACCTTTAATCACTGCAGACTTCAAACTTACACATTCTTCTTGCACAAAGTGCATCTTTATTACTCTGTGAGGACTTTAAATAATTCATTGCTGTAGAAATCAAATGGAAAAGCGATGCTGTTTGTGCCATACTCTAATTGCTGAAATCACTGTGTCCTTTCAAATGAGGGTGGGCATTTAAGCCCGATTCTCTTCCAGTGCAACCACTGGTGAATGCATCTGGTTCTCCATCTGCTGCAGGGGGATGGGGGTACTGGTTCCCCCCATGATATTGCAAACATCCCACCTGTGGGGAAGGAGGTTCCTCTGAAACAAGACTGTAGTCAGATGTGAAACAGCCACAATCATCCCCAGAGTGAGGAGCATGATGAGTGTTTTAAAGGGGAAGAGCTGACTGTAGGTCCCATCCACTGGGCAGCAGGCTGGGTAGCAGATGATGGGGGGAATGCTCAGGGCAGGTTCCCCTGCCAGCAGCCTCAGGAGGAGCCCAACCAAGAAGCCAGCAGCAGAGCCATAGGTGTTGGTGCTGGGAGCGAAGAGGGCACAGCAGAGCTGGGGGAAGAGCAGGGCATACACCAGCTCCCCGCTGAGGAACCAGAGGTCATAGACAGAGCTCGAGTAAAAAGCCAGACCTGCAGCACCAGCCCCGAGCACCAGCATGGAGATCCTCATGGCCCATAAGACCTCTGTGTCTGCAGCCTGTAAAACAGAGATTGCCATATTATAAACATGGCTTAATGGTGGGGTAACCAGCACTGCTCTGGGCTGGTTCTCACCAAGCCATCACTGCTTTCAGATAGTGTTTGCCACCAGCAAACCCAAGGCAGGCACCCCTGCAGGTGAAGCTGCCCTTTGTAATTTCAAGGATCATGCTTTTACGCAGTCTCCATGAATACCCTAGTCCAAACTTTATACCAGTCATTTTATAAAGAGCAAAGCTCACCAGTGTAGGTATTTGCATCTCTACCATGGATATGAACACCCCTGACCTATGTTTGAAGTGCTGACTCCAGAAGTCATTCCAGCAGCTGAAGAACAGACACCTCTAATTGCAGACCACACAGACCGGATTTGAAACAGTCATGTAAGAAGGCACCATTCTTGACACCAAATACCAAATACCTCTTTCCTCAGGATTTTCCTGTAGATATTGTGAGCGAACATGGAGCCGGCAGAGAGAAGAGCTGAATCTGCAGAAGACATTGCAGCAGCAGCGATGGCTCCCAAACCCACGATGGAGATGTATGCTGGGCAGAGATAGTGTAAAACAAGTGGCAGTACCATTGCTGATTCCCCTTTCTCAAATGGACTCGGAAGACCATAGGTTGTCTGGTTCCAATCTTTAAAACACAACAAGGAAAACGCAACAAATCCTTCATGGACATTTCTGCTGCTTTTCCAAAGGGACCAGTCACTGCAGGGCTAAAGACTGAGACCCACTCGGCATTTTTAGGACTTGGATCAATTTTTTGGATTCTCTTATGATCCCTTGTGATTCCCTTTAACATGCTGCAGCTCTCATTAGATGGAAGATTTTTCTTTTCCCCAGTAGCATCCATAGAAATAGCTTTGCTTTGTGTGTTTACAGAACTGGGACCGTTAAATGTCAACCTGCTAGAACCTGCTCATGGGGAGAGGAAGTTTTGCTCTGATGCCCTTAGTGACAGTGAGTTAAGGAGTTCAGCTGATTTCTTTATATATTCAGTGACCTAGCTACTCTTTAACCCTTGCTCTCAGCTAACACAGGACTGATCCCCTGAGTGAGGGCTATGAGTTCACCAGACTGAACTTCTTGATTCCTTCAAGCAGGTTTTCTTCAGAACCTTATTAACAGTCTGCAGTAATGTTTCTGAATCTTACACACAGAGAAGGCATTAATAGAAGCAAGTGTAAGGTTTCTTGGAAAATAGGTTTATACAGGGATTTACAGGGTCTGCTTTCATCTTTCCTCAACACAAGATCCATGAAAAGCCCCTTCATCATAATGAATTAGCTTTAAACAGGTCTTGGGGCTGTTTAAACATCTCTGGGTAGTTATGCACTGAACCTTAGAGGGCTCCACATTGCTGGTACAGACCACTTAGCTTGGTGACCAAGGCTGCGCTTCTAGGTACACAAGAGTAGCTAATTTGAAGTCAGGACTTCTTTGGATCCTGTTTTAATCACCTTTGACAAAAACATGTTCATTATTCAGAGACAAACAATTAGTTTTACCTGTTGATGCTGCAACTGCACCAATGATCACAGAGGGGATGGCCATTGTAAAGCACCCAAGTCCGGAGAGGTAGGAGATGAGCCTCGCCTGTCCTGGTGAGGCAGCGGAGAGCACTCTTTGGAAGTAAGTTTGCCATGGGATGCTCCCAAGCACCTGAAACATTCAGATGTTACCAGTAGAACCCCACCAGGCTGCTGGTTGTTGTAGGGCATCATCCATCCGTTCAGGTGGATGATAATATTTACTGTTATAAAACTCTCATTTCAAATGCACAAACGTTGCCCAGCTTTAACTATGGAGGAGGATATTTCTGATGGTTGAGGGTGCCTGTTTCCTTTGTTTTCATTGTGCTGGATGTGAAATTTTAGTCAAAACATGTTATTGTTCTGGCAGACTGAGAAAGGTAGAAACCAGAGAAAGGCCACCAAGATGATCAGGGGACTGGAGCACCTCCTGTATGAAGATAGGCTGAGAAAGTTGGGGCTGTTGAGCCTGGAGAAGAGAAGGCTGCGTGGAGACCTCATAGCAGCCTTCCAGTGTCTGAAGGGGGCCTATAGGGATGCTGGGGAGGGATTCTTCATTAGGGACTGTAGTGATAGGACAAGGGGTAATGGGTTAAAACTTAAACAGGGGAAGTTTAGATTGGATATAAGGAGGAAATTCTTTCCTGTTAGGGTGGTGAGGCACCGGAATGGGTTGCCCAGGGAGGTTGTGAATGCTTCATCCCTGGCGGTGTTCAAGGCCAAGTTGGACAAAGCCTTGGGTGGAATGGTTTAGTGTGAGGTCTCCCTGCCCATGGCAGGGGTGTTGGAACTTGATGATCTTAAGGTCCTTTCCACCCCTAACTATTCTTTTTTTTTCTTCTCCTTCAGGTTGCTTGGCATAGTGAAACAGGCACAGGGGAAGGAATAGAGAAGGTTTTCAGGAATGCAGCTTTTGTAAAAATCCTCCCCACACTCAGCTAGAATACAATCTAAAACAAAATCCGATCAAATCAACATTTTCACTTTCTTGGCAGATGAATTTCATCAGAGAAAATCTGAGGATTCTGTTCTCACCAAACAAACTCAAGCTCCTGTGTGTCCCTATTGCCAGTCTAGCAACAGCATAACAACCCCCTGTAGTCTTGGCTATACTGGTAGCTCAAAATGTGAGATATGCAGTGGAGCCAATGGCACCATGACTGCTAATGATCTGCAGTCATGTCATTTTAGGTATTTTTCTGTTTCAAATAGAGGGATCTTTACATAATTACGTTAAAAGCACACTTTAAGGCTGCAAGACCAACCTCTCAAAATGGGAGGAAATGCCTCATTTAGGTGACAGGAGTGGAACTGGCTGCTTGGATGGTCTTACTCAAGAGGTACATTACTATTACTGCCTGTGGGTAAAGGAGTGTCCCAACTGCTTCTTCCCTTCCGTTCCCTGAGCCCTGAATCTTCCCGGTCCATTCAGTGTGTGGCAGAGTGGTTTTACACATCAACCTGCACCTGCCAGGTGTGCAATGTAGGGCTCCTGGCTGGAAGGACAAGTTTTCCAGAAGAAAGTCCCTGCACAATCCCTTCTCCCAACCACCTTTCCAAGAAATGCTCCGTACCAGGTAGAAGAAGTCATCCAGCCACCTTCCAAGGTACTGTTTTTCTACCTTCCCAATCCAAGGGTCTTGGTGAGACTGATGAGTTGCAGTGTAATAAATACTTTCTGTTGCAGAGTTCATCATGGCAAAGGGGATACAGACCCACTAGGATAGAAATAGAAATAGTTGGCCATTTCCCCTGTTCTTGGACGCTGTATTTAGATAGTGAAATTAAGGTAAATGTAGAACATATAATTAGATAAGATTAAACCCAGACTAAGAATTTTCCTTTCTCCCCCTTTCTTTCTTTAAATCTACATGTTTCTGGTTCATGGTGTCATCAAGAACGTGAGCCTGTAGGTCAGGTCAGTTGGTGCCTTCCATAGACAGATCCTTTTCCTTCCCAGCCAATATCACTTCCAACAGGTTCTGCAGAACTTACTTGTGAGCAGCCATGTCCACTCAACAGGGCCAATAGCTTGTGTGAGCACTGTCTGAAATGCATAAGGACTGCAAGATGTTTCGGGAGACTTGTTCTCCTGAAGAGAAACTGTAGGGCAAGGGCCAGTATTGGAGTTTAGTTTGGCCTGAGACAGACTGAAAAGAAGAGCAGGTTTTCTTTGCCTTAGTTAGGAAAATGGTTACAAAGAAATGCACAGGACTTGCCAGGCTGAGGGTAATGAAAACCAGCTGGATGACATCTGTGTATGCAACAGAGTACAGGCCTCCCAGTAGAGTGTAGACTATGACAGTGCATGCTGAGATGATGATGGCCAAAGAGCTGCTGATATTCAGGATGACCCTCATTGTTGCTCCTGCAGACAAGGGCAGTGGTCAGGTATTTTAAGACAGATTTCATATGTGCAGAATACAGAATAAATAAGGAAATGTTATCCCCTTGATGCCAGCACACTACAATGAATGAGAAGTTCATGGTCCATAGGGAGTGGGAGCCTCCTCAGGAGACAGGAGAGCCCATGTTCCCTTTCTGCTCTTCTGCTACCTTGTTGTATGGCCTTTGCAAGGCATTTCACCCTTTTGCATCTGCTCTCCCACAGGCAAGAGGAAGGTACTAACTCATGTTACCAGACCTCTCTATTATAATATAATTTGTTTTAAACCTAAAATCATATTTTCCCAAAATGAGAAATGCTTGTGTTCCTCTCACAATAGGAGACATGAAGCACAACTTCCCACAGCTGAGTCCAGCACAATTCCCAAATGTGTCTTATACTCTGATAGTTGTGCCCCATGCCTTTAACAAGTATAACAACAAAATAAGTATTTACCCAGGGATGCCAGGATAGCTGCAAACCAGAACACCTCCCCTAGCAGGGGTGGAATGAAGAGTAAGCTTCCCATCACGTTCCCATAAGTTTCTTGAAGGGGATCCATCACTGTCACATAATTCTTGGATCTCATTGGATTTACAAAGAAGCAGCCACCTGTCAGAAGTAATGACATCTTGGTAGAATTTTGCATGTATTATATAATAGGGGGAAAAAAAGTAAGAATACTGAGGTATTTAGTTATCAGACCTGTATAGCGAGTGTGGTATTTGTACATAACAGACCCTAGAGACAACCAGACACGAGAATCTCAATTTACTTGCCTGAAAATGGGGTTTCATCCACCCGAGAGGCTCCATATTCTAAAGGGCATCTGCTTACAGCTGACAGATGTGACTCTCCCCTTTTGGCAGATGTACTTATTTCCAGAAGGCCAGATAGGACTTCTAGGGCACCCCAAATGGCATAAGATACCTGTGTGACTGGAATTCAGCTTAGAGGACACCCACATATACTCTGCTCTCCATCTCCAATGACCTACCAACCTAAGACACAATGTTTTGTGAAATGCTTCAATCCCAACATGTCAGTAGACAGAATGAGACACTGAAGACTTCTATTTGGCTAAGAAAGAGACAAACGTTTGCCCTTGACCATGTGGTGCAACCTATTGATATACGTTCCTTTCCTGGTTATATTTTCATTTTGGTGGCTTCATTGTCTCTTCCCAGAACAATATTGTTTTAATCTCCGTGTTGAGCTGCGTCCCACCCTCCTTCATCTAAATATTAGACTTCAGATGTACAGCTGTCTCATTAAAACCAAAGAATACGTATTGCGCCTAACCCTGAAGCCAACAGGACTGCTTGCCTGGGCACTACTGACCCGAGCAAAGATTGCAGGATCAGACCTGCACTCCTCAATTTCATTAGTAAGAATTACTCACATACATAAGAAATGCTGGCAGTTTATTTCCAAGCCTGATTCATATTCACGTCAGTTGGACTCTTTTCTCTGACTTGAGAATAAAGGTTATTGTTCTTTTAGAAATTCCTGTGCAAGGTCTGCACAGTTCTTGCTTTAATCATCCTGTGTCCCTAGAGAGTTATGGTATAACTCAGTGGAAGAAACTGTGGTTTTGGCAAGACAACTGAACTTCAGCGTGAGTCCATTAATTCTTGCAGTTAGATATGGCGATTTAGGTATAGCACACTGCAAACCTAGCTTAGTTTCAACCAAATAGTGACCAGTTGCGAAGTGGGATAAGCTGGATGCACTACGAATTCATCCTGAGATGAGACTACTTAGAAGAATGCATTTTAGTGGAAAAATCAAGACAGTTTTATTTAATCATACAGAAATTTTGAAGAAAAAAAGTAGAATTATACCAACACTCTCAACAGTATGTGAATAAGAGACCATGATAAAAAAGCAATATGCACATAGCCACATGCTTCTTAAGTTCTCAGGTTTTTTGTCCTATAAATTGTTCCAAGCAGGCAAAACTCTACACTAGAGTAGCTTGGAGCTAATTTCTTATGTTTCAGTTTAGAAGACAGCATTATAAATGCTTATTCTGGATCCATAGGACATCGAAGAAACAAAATCACCTTTAAAATATCCTCTGTTACACATCTTAATATGCTCATATGATTATTTCTTTTAAAGCTTTTGCGTCCTGATTATGTGAACTATTTACCAATAACAAGGGACAAGGCAAATCCCACGGGTGCCTGAACCCACAATAGTCCTTTTGACGGCAGGTAGACAATCTCAGCTGTGCCATTGATATAGGCTCCTCCAACCCAGGTGGCTGTAAACATGGAAGATGGAAAAGTAAGAATTGCAATACATATTCTCAATTGTCTTATAGAATATTTTGAAAGCTTGTAAACCTTTTTACCACACAAATATTTAATCACACTTCCATTTTCTTTACAGAGCTCTCTCCCATAGTGAGATGTGCTGCTGAGTACAAGTAAGAGTATTGGAATCTCAGCCTAAATAATCTCCCACGTTCAAGAATGAATATCAATGAGTGCCTGGAAAAGCTGAATGCTTCAACATTTCGAGGCAATTGGAATCTACTAATTTCATTTTTCTCAGTGGAAGACTTTCGCGAGAGCCAGTAGAATTGCCTCTGTTATATTGCCAAGACTGAAAGACCATCCTTAACGAGCACCATTTACACAGTCTGTGAAAATAGACATTAGGAAAAAGGATGCAAGCAGACATTGCAGCCAGAATCCAAACGTGTAACAAGGCTTAAGTGCTTTAGCTGTGTAAATATCACTCAGGGAAACCTTCACAAAGAGTGGGTCAGAGAAGCTAATTTCAGATGATGCCAGGCAGCAAGGAGAGAAAAGGGAAGCGGAGGGCAGCAGTTAGTGGGGAAACATTTTCCCTTTAGAAGACAACCCAGGGCTGCAATTTATTCCACACAGAGCTGGATTGTTCCAAGAGTAAAATTATTCTGTTATGCTGGATAACAAAAACTGGTTAAGATTAAGACCACAGAGCTCCTTAATGAAAAGTGTCGTATTTTCCAGTCTCTATTAAATTAAACTCTTTAACTCTTAAATAAATCTCTTTAATTTAAAAGGATCTACATAAACATTAAGTTCTGTTCAGCATGAAGAGGTTTAGAAGAATCCATCCCAAAATGATTCATGAACCCATACTCCTTTAAAGCCACACTTAGGTAAAATCTGCCCTGACATTAAAGGAGTTCACTTGCTTTGAAAGCAAAGTCCCCAAGATCTAACAGATACATGTCTTTTAAGAAGGATTTTTGAAGGTCTTTTAAGAAAACTTACCTGTTGCAGTAAACAATCCAATGAAAACATTTATATTCCTGCCTCCAACTATGGCCATTTCAGTTGGGTTTCTATTCTGCTGATCCTTTTTACTTTTCCAAGAAGCCCAAATTCCAATAGCTAAAGTTAACATAAAAAACACACTCAAAGATACTAAGCCTGGTACATTTAGAGCCATTTTCTATTGCTTAATTTAGAGCATAGAGAGGAATAATGGCTTGATGATAATACCCTATGATCAAGTCCACAGAAAAAAAATAGAAAGCAAATCAGAAAAAATAATGCTGCCTTGTAAAGAAACTGCTATTTGTTAGTTTTCTGTATTTTGTGAGGAACAATGCAGTACAAAACACCAGACACCAAAAGTCTTGTGAACTGGATGCAGAGTTTGTCTTTGGAAGGTACTACTGGCAATTCTTTGGGCTTCCCTCTTCTTCAGAAGATAACCAATCTTCTTTTTCAGGGGAGCAGAGATTAAGAGGGTAGGAATTAGTGTTGATAAGAGCAATGGAGCAATGATGTGATGGGTAATACCAGCATGGCTTAAAGGAGGGGAAATGTTATGTTTTGTCTGATATGCAGTGGTATGAAAATAATTTGTCTTTAGGTTCTAGACACAAGGATAACACAGAAGACAGGGCTAAGACTTTTTCTGTTTAAAGCTGACTGAGCTAAATCCACAATAGTCTTCAAAATAAACCTAGGAAACAGTAAAAGAATATTTAATACAGCAAGTGAAGGAGCGGCAGGCTGATATTCAAAGCAAGTGCGTTATCATTTCACTGCTGGAAACAGGCAGGAAAGCAAGGTGGTGTTAGACTCCTCAATAAAACTACAGACTTTTTAAAGCTACTTTGTGAAGCTCCCTTTAAACAGATGTAATTCTAAGAAAAAATCAGCTATGTATTAAGGAATTAAACCATTTACATTTACTATAGAGTTGTCATACTGGTATCTTCTCAGTTGCCCTATGAATCTTTTTAATTTGTCCATGTGTGATTCTTCGTGACCAATTCTATGCAAAAGCTTCCTAATTTAGGGCACTTGTTTGGCTATCTTGGACACTCGCCTTCATCTTTGGAGCAGGCAGCTCCTTTTTACATGGAAATCACAGATTTCTTCTTTGCACACATACACTGAGCAGGAGTTTGAAAGCCCAACTGTTTAGGAAGGTTTTCTGCAGTGTGCCGTCTCCTGCAGACAACCAGAGGTAGCTGTGCATGGAAATGACAGTGGCACAGGATAAGCATGTGCTATGGGCAGGACATGGTAGGAATGAACACACAGGCACATGGAGGATAGCTTTGGGAAGATGGGGGGACAACGGCAGGAACCCTGTGTTTTCAGTGACATCTCTGTACAGGGGAAAATAAGGGTTTGGGTAAGACAGGCAGTGATCTGGTGGGAACACTCTATAGAAGTGTTTAAAAAAACTTGAAAAAAGATGAAAAGCTTGACATCCAGATGGTTATTTATCCTGCCTTAGGAGGAATATTCCTTTATATTTATAATCAAATGCTGTTTTAATTGAGTCGGGGGTTAAACTTTGACTCAACTATTTATGTACAAAAAGGGGCACTGTGTGCTATAAAGGCACATTTTCTAGTGGGTAATTTGTAACACTCTCATCTTAAATGTACCCTCTACAAAGTCATAGAAACTGCAGCTGTTGGTGGCAACGGAGCCACTGCTCTCTCTGGGTTGCCTTCCTTGCTCTGAATTGGATATTCCAAAAACTTTTAAAACACAGTTTACACACAGACACACACTAAGCTTTTTTTCTGTGAGCAGATGTTTTGCAGTGTATTTCCTAGGCAGGAACAGAGTAGGGTTGAAGGTGCATGTGGCTGAAGGTACGCACAGTCAGGTCTGAGTCCTCTCTGCAACCAGGCAATCCTGGGATGAAATACCTAGCACTGCATTCTTCGTGTAGGGGTCAACCGAATTCAGCATGTCCAAAGCAAGACTTGAATTTGTTCTTTGATATCTGCAGAGGATGTCTGGTCTGACTGCTTTTTATCATCCCTTGAAAAACAAACCAGTGAAAAGTGTCAGGCATGAAAACCTGCAGGGAAACTTCATTGGAAAACCCAGAGGGATGGAGGGAAGATGTGGTGAGGCAAAACGCAGGTGAAAAACACGTAATGGGACAAAGGAGACTTAGAGATAACGATGCGTAAGGTAGTTCATCTGAAGCTGGATGATGATATACAGTGCATGGAAGGATTGTAAAAGCATGAGATGATACCACCAAGATCAATTCTTCACTGAAACTCTTGTGCTCTTTTGCCATTAGAGGACTCTCAGCTAACACATCTATTTTACAAACAAAGAAGTCTCACTAATGGAGAGATGCTTGAGGTGGCTTCACCTCCCTGCTCATGATGGATGGCTGCAGCTTCAGGTGCCAGCTGTTGTGCTGCTCACTGCAAGCTCCCTGCGTAACCCATGGGGACAAATATGCAATTTTAGGAGGTGATTCACTGACCTGTTTTAGGTCCTGTGAGGCAGGACAGAGTGAGGGCAGATCTCAGCCTGCTGGACTCAGGGCTGCTTTTAGGAGCAGTATCACTATACCCAGTAGATGTTTCAGGGCTTGATTTGGATGCTCACACAGAGATGGCTGGTGCCACCTGAGATGCTCTGAAGCTTCTGAGATGTCCACATGGTCAAGCAGATGTTACAGAGAACCTGTGGGAGACATGTGCCATTCTGGAGCAGCAGCTAGGACATTCTGGTGTATCTCCATTGGCTCTGAGTAACTACTTGGGGGATACTCAGACGTGCTCTTACTCTCTCCTTATCACTTGACCCTGATGGAGCAAACTGTGAGAGGTGATTGATTAAAATAGAGGAGTGCCTGGAAGAAAGGAGGAGTGCTGTGTACTAGGGTTGTTTTCTGTCTATGGTGGGAATGATCTACACTGTAGTGAGATCTACACTTACAGCTACTCAGCTTTGAAGCTAACCTACAGGAAGAAAGAAAGGTGGACGAAACAGTGGCATCTGTGCCTAGGATAAAGCTACAGCCCTGCTTTTCTGGGTTAAATGTGCTACATTACTGATGATGAGCTTTAGCCAGTCTTCTGTGCCCCATGGGCATGAGAGGTGCCACAGGGAAGGGTCTTTCTGAAGAGTGGCTGTCCCCTGTCACTCCTCTGGAAAGGGACAAGCCCAAAGATCTGGTGCTCTGTAGGAAATAAAATAATTCAAGAATCTGTAAAATTTTGGTTTTTTTTTCATTTCTTTTGCTTCTTAAGTTTTTTGCAAAGAAGTGGTTACCTGTGAGGAGCTCCCTGGGAGGAGAGACGCAGGTCTGAAGCTGGGGCAGTAGAGCAGAGGCCGTGGCACAGAGAGGTGTGTGGGGACCAACCTCTCACTGGCTTGCTTTGCTCTTTGTGCCAAGAAAAACCCAGCACTGGGCCCGAGGCATCTGAGCTATTTGCATCAAAATGATCTGACAGTTCCTCTTGAAATGAGATGGTATGAACAAGTCTGTGGTTCCCAACCCAGCTATTTGAATCATGTCCTTGATCCTGGAAGCTGAAACACCGGGCAATCGGTCTCCAAACATTTACAGTTTCTCAGATGAAGTTCTTGGCCTAAAGTTTTATTCCTATTCCAAGCTAAACCCAGGAACAATTTTTTCTCTTCCAACCAACACAAATTTGCAGGTGGCTGATCTACGTGAGTTTCAAACACGGAAGATAGAGGGATAATTTGATTGGAAAGTAACAATTTTACTCCTTCTGTGAGAGCCCGTGTGGTGAGACTGCAGAGTGATCAGTGTAAAAATGGAACAAATGTTTTGTCATTATGCCTGTGCGAGTTTATGACCAGCAATTTTTTAAGATTGGTAGATATAGAGAAGACAAACTGGTAAGTAGCTAGAAAGAAAGAGAGAGAGAAAGAAGGAGAGTGAAAGAAAAGAAAGAGAGAAAGAAAGGGAGAAAGAAAGAAAGGGAGAAAGAAAGACAGGGAAAGAAAAAGAAAAGAGAAGAAAAAAGAAAAGAAAAAAGAAAAAAGAAAAGAAAAGAAAAAGAAAAGAAAAGAGAAAAGAAAAAAGAAAAGAAAAGAAAAAGAAAAGAAAAGAAAAGAAAAGAAAAGAGAAAAAAGAAAAGAAAAGAAAAGAAAAGAAAAGAAAAGAAAAGAAAAGAAAAGAAAAGAAAAGAAAAGAAAAGAAAAGAAAAGAAAAGAAAAGAAAAGAAAAGAAAAGAAAAGAAAAGAAAAAAAAGAAAAGAGAAAAGAAAAGGAGAGAAAGAGAGAAAGAAAAGAAAAAGAAAGAAAAAAAGACTGAAAGAAAAATAAATAAAAAAGAAAGAAAGAGAGAAAAAAAAAGAAAGAAAGGAAGGAAGGAAGATTTGGCTGGATAGGGTGCAGGGACACCTAGTTTTGGTTATGCTTTGCCTAGAAAGGTTGGACCATATGATCCCTGAGGTCCCTCCAACCTGGCGTTCTATGATTCTGTGATTAAAGATAGATATAGAAGTATATTATGAGTTCTTTAGTTTTACTAAATTCTTCAGGTGTACAGTATCTAAAACATTTCAGAGACAAAATGGAAAAAAACCCAAACCAAACCCAAAACCAACACCAACACCAAAACTCCTTAAAATCTGTAGTAACCCCAATCCTGAAACACGTTATCTTTATTTCACCCAATTCTGTCCAAATTGAATTTATTAGTAGTAGTCTTATGTAGCCATTTTATTCTGAAGCCAAGCCTAGGAAAGGTTGGGTTTGCAGGTCTCCCTGCAGTGCTTGATGTGAGCAGCTGCCCCTGTTGCTATGTGCTGGCTGGCTCCCAGAGAAGGCTTTCGTGATACTTCTGGGAGGTCAGGCTTTGACTCATGCAAAAGGTGAATAAGGCAATCCAAAAAACCACAGAGATTTCACCAAATTTTACCACCTTGATGCATCTTGGGTAAATGAATCTTTAGCTTCCAAGAGAGGCATTTGTCTTCGTCACCCACACCCCTGTGTTGGTAGCTCCAACTGAGATACTTGGGCCTCTAGACATCTGCGAGTGGCTCTCAAGCAGGACAGAGGACATGTACCACATTGCATCTGGAGGATGGGCAGGATGCTTTGCTGCATTTCAAATGGCACCAAATGCTCCTGTCTAGAGTAGACAACTGGATCTTCATAGAATCATAGAATGGTAAGGGTTGGAAAGGA